ACACACACACACACACACACACACACACACACGCACACACAAATAGACACACACAGAGACTAGAATATGCAGGAAAAACCCTATAATTTCTATCAAGCTGCATTAAAAAGGCTTGTTTTTCTTTCCATATTGTATGAAGGACACCCTATACAGTTTGTTCTACTAGCTTGAGTAACACAGAATATGGAAAATACAAAAGCTACAAGGAAATGGTCTCTGCACTGAAAAATTGGGACTTAAATTTGAGATTTGCTCTTGGTGAAAAATGAATGATCCAAATTCACTAGTGCAATTACTGGGAATTAGGTTCTGTACAAATATTAAGTTTCACTTCTACTGAGTGATAGAAGAAATAATAGTATTTCCATCTTAGAAAGCTAGATTTTTCTAGCTGGTCAATTAACCTCGGATTGCTGACTATACATATTTTAAAGCCCACATCCTTTTGGGGTTTACAGATGGGGAGTAGTTACAATTAACTTATAAAATTGTGGCTTTGTATTGCCAAAAATGATCAGTTGGTTCAAATAATTTTCCAATAGAGAAATCAAGGATTGATTTCCTCCCAGTCTCCTGAAATGCTGCTATCTAGAACTTTACACCACTTCTGAGTGTTCAGTTTAGAAGCAAAAGTAGTGAGTTGTTAGCTCATTAGAGAATTTTATTTGTGGTAGAAAGGTTGTCCTGTTGAATTAAAAATTCTGAGTCTTTTTATTTGCTTCCTTGAGGTGGTTCCTTAATACACCCCCATACACACACACCCCACAAAACCCCACAATCTTTTTTTGAAACAAATTAATAATTATTACCAAGACATATGTAAGTATACGAATGCTTAGAAAACTTAGAAAACATTTTTTTAAGAACCCATAGACCCAGTCAAACCCTTCTAAATAGATATTGGGAGGTGAACAGAGAGCAGACTCTCCATCTTAGAAAAGTAGATTAGCAGAGAAATCAGTGTTAGAAAAAAACTGAAAATTTGCCATGTACTTTCTTTCTTTCAACTTGAAATTATCAAGCATCTACCGTATGCCAAGTCTCCATCATGAGCAAGTCAGAGAGAAGGCCTTGACTGCACAGAGTTGATTTGTTGGGGATATTGATTGTTAGGTAAAACATGGTGGTCTTGACCCTCAGGATTAATTCTTCCTGTTACTTATAAATCCAACCAGTCTTTTTCTTCAGAAACCAGAGATGATTTTGATTAATTGACCTGACAGTGCATAGCACATCATATTTACTTGGGAGAATTTAATAACCCTAGAGAGTCCCCAAGGAAAACACGAAAATTTCCACATACCTTTATCCTAATGGGATCATAGTAGCAGAATGTGATGGTCAGGGTTTAGGGTTCTCACGGGCAGAGGAAGCTTCTGGAAAGACTTTTATCTCTGTGGAACCTTTCACCCACATTCACTGTGGAAAGAGAAATCAGAACAACAGAAATCTGAAAATGGGGAATGAAAATGGTCTGTGGAAATGAATTGTGTCCTGGGGGAATAGGCAATTTGTTTCTCTAGGAGTGTCGTATTTACAATTAGAACATACATATGAAATTGTGATGACTGTGGGTAAAGTGTGGCAGGAAGTATTTTATATGCTTGGGAATTTTGAGAGGGAAAAGAGCTAATATGGGATATTTGCTAGATGTTCTTTGATTGTCATTCAACATCTGTCAGGCTATCACCTGAGATTAGGTCAGAGATGCAAATTTGAAGGGCCTAGTTCCAGTTACTGAATCCCCAAATGCCATTCTCTGAGGCCGCTGAGTGTTCTTTCTGGTCCACCCCGCTGAGAACCACTGTTCTCAAACTGTGTACAAATCATTGTTTTGCTGTTTAGCTCACTTTTATCAAATAGATGTTCACGTAGGTTTTTTATTGGGATCTGTTGAACTTTATAATGTAACATATGACATTTTTATTTTACATGTTGTTTTAAAATCTTCTCACAGTTAAAGGAAGTCCGTTTTTAAAGTGAATACCTAAGATAGGATCTATCTCAAATGAAATAATTAGTCAGGGTAAGTTGAAAAAGCGTGCACACGACATAACACACACTAAATGCACTGTATGTGTATGTTTTGTTTTTACATGAAGTGTGTTTGTTTCCAGGTGTATTTTCCTTAATTTTTCATATTAGATGGCCGTTTTTATTGGGATCTGTTGAACTTTATAATGTAACATATGACATTTTTATTTTACATGTTGTTTTAAAATCTTCTCACAGTTAAAGGAAGTCCGTTTTTAAAGTGAATACCTAAGATAGGATCTATCTCAAATGAAATAATTAGTCAGGGTAAGTTGAAAAAGCGTGCACACGACATAACACACACTAAATGCACTGTATGTGTATGTTTTGTGTTTACATGAAGTGCGTTTGTTTCCAGGTGTATTTTCCTTAATTTTTCATATTAGATGGCTAATTCACTGCTTCCTTATTTCAAATCTTTATGTGTGCATCAAATATAGAAGTATTAAAATAATAGAACACTTATAACTAAACCAAAGGATTCACTTCACTTTTTGGGAAGTTTATAATTTGTATTAAAGTACAGTGAAGTTTTCATTTCTGTAGGACAGAAGTAGGCTTGAGAAATTAGAAGTACTGGGGACAGGGAGAGGACTCCAAGGTCTGACAACCTGAGTTTGATCTTCAGGACCCACATGGCGGAAGGAGAGAAATGACTCCCGGAAGTCGGCTTCTGTTACTTCCTTACGTGTGCTGTTACTCCAACACTCTTTTTCCCCATGCCCAAATATGTAAATAATAAAAAATAAAGAAGAGCTTAGATCAATGGCTTGGAATGATAGCATGCACTTATGATTCTAACTGTCTGGAGGCTGAGGCAGGAATATTATGAATCTGATGCCAGCTTGGACTACACATTGCATTTGAAGCTAGCCTTGGCTAAGTAGTTGAACCCTGTGCCAAAACAATAACAATAACAAAATTAGAAGTATAGAACACATTTTATTTTCTCACTGCTTGTCTGATCCTACCAGCCTGAGTTGCTAATGAATTACTTTGATGTTTTTGTAGTTTGTATATATTGTGTGTGTGTGTGTGTGTGTGTGTGTGTTTGTGTGTGTGTGTGTGAATGTGTGCATTTGCACACTTACATGTCTTGTGCATATGTGGAGGTCAGAGGACAACTTTGTAGACTCAGTGCTCTCCTTTCATGTTTACGTGGGTCCTGGGGATCAAACTCACGGTGTAAGGGTTGTGTGGCAAGTGCCTTTAGCCACTGGGCATCTCAGCACCCCAACCTTGATGATGACATGAAGAATCTGCAGTTTTCCTGCTGGTGTGCCCATTTGCTACAGCACATCTCAATCCCTTCTCTGAAGGCCCCCAGTTCTTTGGGGGAGGTTTTAAGGTGCATTTGAATACGCTCAGGAGCAAAGCCACCGTGGCTCCTCCTCATTCATGTCTCAGACTCTGTCCCTTGTGCCACTGTCTGGTAAGGGCAGCTCTCCTGCTCAGTGCCCTGGTCTTGCATGTCTTTGCATCACAGAAACCTATCTGTAGAGATTAACTGGTGCTCTGTTATGGGAATGACTAATTTGCTGTGGAGTCACTAACACTTTTCTCGGAAACAAGGTAGACCATGTACCATCTCTTTCCCCATCAACTGATGGCCTAGAAATGGCACCATTGGTGTCCCAAGATTTTCAAGCCCTTCTTATAGCTTCTTCCTTTAAGAATTCAGATCTTGCTCTTATGGGAGAAGTGGATTGTTCATTCCATTTCTATTTTATTCTCTGGTCCCCACTTCTTTTTCTAGTCATCTGCATATTAAATTATAAATCTTTACTGTACCCCTTATTAATATAAAAAATAGGTTGCTTGGAGAGAAGTCACAGTAGGGTCAGATTTAGGGTCTTTGGTGCTATGCAGTCATGCAGTATCCTGAAAAGGCTCTAAGCACTGGCTAATGCTCTCTTGAAATTTGTGATAACTTTTGAACAAGGAGCCTACCCTTTCCTTTTTGCTCCGAGCTCCTGAAGCTAATCCAGACTGCTACCGCCTCAGCGGAGACTGAAGCTTTGAACTTCTCTATAGGGTTGCTTCACCAGACAGTGTCTCCCTTTGGATTAGTTCTTGAGATTAACATTAACAAACAGAAATTCTCCTTACAGTGTTTGCCAGTCTCTGGTGATGAGAGATACTGATATTATATATATATAAGACTATTGGAGCCTATAGTGTATGGGAATCCTGCAATAGTTTACTATTACTCATTATTTTTAGATACTAAGTCAATTTTAAAATATTTCTAATAACAACTTTTCCAGTGTAAAGGTTAGTAATGTATTATTTTAAAATTAAATTTTAAAGTTAAGCATACAAAATAATGGGTTCCATTATGGCATTTTTCTTTTTAAATTTACTTATTTTTATTTTATGTGATTGGTGTTTTGCCTACATGTATGTCTGTTTAACGTTATTAGATCTTAGAGTTACAGATACTTGTGAGCTGCCATGTGGGTGCTGGGAATTGAACCCAGGTCCTCTGGAAGAGTAGCCAGAGCTCTTAACCACTGAGCCATCTCTACAGCCCCCATTATGGCATTTTTTCATACGTACATGTTGTTAGCTCTCATTTGTTCTCCTCCATCATTAGTAAGAATTTATCAGAAAACAAATTAAAACCTGCATATGGTGGCACACATCTGAAAGCCCAGTCCTTAGGAGAGTGAGGCAAGATTTTGAGTTCAAGGCCAGCTTGGGCTATGCAGGGAGACCATGTTTCATCTATTACATAGACAGATGCTAAGCACAGGGTTGTGGAAACAGAACAAGATGCATCCTTATTTTCTAAGAGCACCAAATAGCAGATAAGGGGGGGTTGCTGCATGGAGACAGAGTACAGGAGGGTCCTACATATCATTTAATAGCCCTATAGTGCTATGTGGAGGGGCTTGGTGTCCCTGAGGCAACATTGAGAAAGTACTTCAGGCTTCCAGTCACTGTGGCTGGGGAGACTTGCTTTTTGATCTAATTTTACCATGTTTTTTGTTTTCCTGCTGTTTTTAGCCTCAGCGCCTCAGTCGGACGAAGGCTCTGACATTGACTCTGAACCTGACTTACCACTCAAGAGGAAGCAGCGAAGGAGTAGAACCACCTTCACCGCTGAGCAGCTGGAGGAACTGGAGCGTGCTTTCGAGAGAACCCACTACCCAGACATTTACACCAGGGAGGAGCTGGCCCAGAGGGCGAAGCTTACAGAGGCCCGTGTGCAGGTACTGATGTCCAGACATTGGAGACTTCCTCAGATCTAGGGATAATCCCACCCTACATCCCCCCATCACATGCCTGCAAGGGTCTCCTCCTCTTGGGAAACATTTTTGATGTTTGGTGATGGGGTCTCACTAAGTAGCCCAGGCTTGTGTGGACTCATAAGCCTCCTGCCTCAGCCTCTTGAGTGCTGGGCTTCTAGATGTACAACACAGCACACAGAAGAAAAGTGTCTGAAATCGAGAAAACCACATTAGCAACAGTCTTAGAGTGAATGAATATCTGTAGGCTTTAGCTCTGGCTACGAGGCTCATTTCATTCCTGTGCACTCATCATTCTAGGATCCTGATGGTGTACCAGAAACTATATGGCTGTTGAGGGTGGTTCCCAGGTTAATAGCAAACATATTTTGAGTTATTATTTTGCACCAGGCACCATTTTAAGTCTTGTATTTCACATGGATTAACTCATGAATCATCACTAAAACCACTGGTTGACATAGTTGCTATCCCCATTCTATGGATAAGGAAATAGAAATGTCAGCTAGTTAAGTAATTACCTAAGCTAACATTGCTGCCTGCTAGTATAGAAACCACGGGGTCTCACATGCTTTGTCCGTTGCCTTTCCACTAGGAAAATGTGCAAAAGTGCATACAGTAGTCCCTTCACTTACAGATTGTAAAGTTCGGAAACAATTATGTTATTTAAGATCATTATGATATCTGATTTTGGTTGTCAACTTGACACATCTAGGAAGAGGAATGTGTCCAATTGAGGAATTGCCTCCATCAGATTGGCCTATGGATATGTCTGTGGGGCATTTTCTTGATTGCTAGTTGATGTAGGAATCTAGCCACTGTGGGTGGTGCCATCCCTAGGTAAGTAGTCCTAGGTTGTTCAAGAAAACAGATTGAGCATGAGCCAGGGAAATTAAGCCATGATCTCTGCTTCGTCTCCTGCCTCCAAGTTCATGCCTTGGCTTTCTTGAATGGATGATGGACTGCAAAGCATAGATGAAATAAGTTTTTTCATTCCCAAGTTGCTTTGGTCGTGTTTATCATGGCAACAGAAAGAAAACTAGGAAATCATGTTTAATTCTCTCTCTCTCTTTTTTTTTACTGACTGTGTGTGTGTGTGTGTGTGTGTGTGTGTGTGTGAGAGAGAGAGAGAGAGAGAGAGAGAGAGAGAGAGAGAGTATGTGGTATGAATATATGGTGTGCTTGTGTGTGCGGTATGTGTGTACATGTTGTATGTGTTGTGTGTGTGTGTGTGTGTGTGGTCTGTGGTGTATGTATATGTGCTCTCTCTGTGTGTGCTGTGTGTGTGTGTTACATGTGGAGGTCAGAGGACAATTTATGGGATTCAGTTTATCCTTCCTCCATGTGGGTTCTAAGGATTGAACTTAGATCAAGCTTGGTTTCAAGCACCTTTAACCAGCTGAGCCACTTCTCAAGCCCTGACTTATTTTTTCAACTCTTAGGAAGTTTCTAGAAGAAGCTATTTAAGTTAGCATGTTTCTCTTGAGTGTACAATAATGTTTTCATAAACAGTGGTGGACTTTCACTTCAATTTTTGGGTACATTACCAAGGACTAAGGAATTTCCAGAACTCCTTATCATCCCAGAAGTTGATTTTCTCTGTAGGGAAATGCCATGTGACACATCCAGCATTTCATGTTCAAAGTCAGGCTGGTACTTTGTCAATGAGTTACTCAGTTGTTGACATGGTCCCTTATCAACACTTTCACCTGTCCAGTACATTACCTTGTCTATTGAAACAGCATCTTCCAGCTGCAGAGTCTAGAGAGAGGGACTGCTTTATTCAGCCTTCCATATGATCTGTCATACCAGAACAGTCAAGGGGTGAAGAGATGGACTAGTAGTTCCTGAAGAGAACTAGTCCAATAGGGATAATGAAGTCACCCTACAAATAATCACAAACAAAGCAGATGTGTCAAGTGCCAATAGAAATGCATTGTGCGGGTGTCGGTAAAGAAAAGATGGGATCTTGGAGAAAATAAGAAAAATGTAGGCCAGATATTTATTTGTCAGAGATGGGAAGGGGAACATCTTCATCCTAGGGCACAACAAAGGGCCAGGGTTTGAAGTGCCTGGGCTACATGTAAGATGACCACTCAGTTTCCATCTGGGCATTCTGGAGAGATCAGAGACTAGTCACTTCTGGTTGGAGTATGAGTAGAGGAAGGGAAGGAGAAGGATGGGTGCAGAGCCAGGCCCAGGACATCCTGTGAAGGCTTAGCTATCATGCTGTTTGGCTCCCATTCATAAAGAACACTGACGGCTGTGGCAAGAAGTAGATCATGGTATTGGCAAGGCTGGGATGATGGTAGAAGGTAGGCAGCTGTTGTAAGAGTTTCAGGTGAGTTGGAAGGGTGAAGAGAAGAGCCACAGACATACCAGGTTTCTGGAGACTGACATTGGAAGTACTGATCTGGGGAGATTTCTCAGTGGTTAAGGCACTTACTGAGCCACGATGAGATCTATAGCAGGATCCCCAGAACCCATGTAGATGCTGTTGGGCATGGCGGCATGTCTGTTATTTCAGCCTCAGAGGGAGGAGATGGGGCATCACCACAGAAAGCTGGTTGGCACCAGACTAGTCCTATTGACAAGCTTTTCGACTGAGAGGCACTACCTCAGTGGATAAGGTGGAAGAGATTGAAGATGATTCTGAACATGAATCTTGGACTTTCACATGAACATGAACACAGATGTATGGACTTCTCCATGTGAAACATACACAGACACACACACACACACACACACACACACACACACACACACACACACACACACACACAGAGAGAGAGAGGGGGGGGGCAGTTGAATTCTTCTACCCATTTCACTGGGACAGAGTGCTCCTCTGCACAGGACAGAAACCATCTTCTTTAGCCATAAACTAGGATGCTTTTACTCTGTATCCCAGTGAAATGGATTGAGGGCAGGAATAGTTCTCTGATCCTGTAATACTATAGCCACAGATATAAAATGAATCAAAAGACATATCACATCTATTTTGCTTCTGTTAGAGTCCTGTAATTGCCCAGTTTAAATGCAAGGTGAGGTCCAGTGATTTCCCATTGAATGTCCACTCTATTTCAGTTTTTAGCTCTTGTGCTTCATGGCTGGCCAAGCCTGTGTACTGATGGGCTCTAAAGACTGATCCCTAATCAGTCTGAATGTAGTGTGAATAAAAACTAAACTTCAGAATGACGAGACAAAGAAGAGTGAAAATCTGAAGCATGTTCATCCTTGCTCTATCTCATTCTTGTCTTTGCTAAAAATGAAGAGGAGACAGAATAAGTTTCAAACCCACATAGCTTGTACAGTCCCCAATATTCTCATCTGGCTCAGTGAATGCCAGAGTACAATAATAATAGCCTATTAACTTTCAGAGGACATGGGATCAAACCAATAAAAAGAGGTTCATATTTTTCTATATGGTCACCTCCCCTCCAAAGCAGGGCCCTCATTAAAGTAACAGCTGTCTTAATGTGGCTTTAACCCGGTGACTCTTTACATTCCTTATGGCTTCTTTAGCTCCCTTGAGACACATCATGTCTTGCACCAGGCTATGATCTACAGCCTAACAAATTCCCTAGAACAACCAGCATATGGATCTTTTACTTAACCCAGCAGGAAAAAGAAGCGAGCAGTTAATCACTGATTAAAATGCCAGCAGAAAATGCTGGAGTCCTTGGGAAGAGCTGGGAAAGCGGTAGCTAAGTCAACTCACTTTGAATGATAGCCAGAGAGTGTGAGTTACTTTAATTTGGGGGCACCTGGGAGAAACCAAACCTCAAACCCTCAAAGCCCAAACCATGTCTACATTCCATGTTTTAGCCCGTTGAGGAAAAATATTTCCAGTCTCTTCTGGATAGAGATGAAACTAAAGCTGTAATAACTTAGGTCTTTGTCAGAGTTGCATAGAAATTCATTTGGACACTTGGGTTTCTCACTGCCAAATCTGAGCACACAGCAAGCTAAGATTCTCTGTTGTGCAGTGAAGGCTCCATCTAGAAATAATGTCAGAAGAAGAGGAAGGAGGAAAGAGGAATCACAAGAAAAGAAAACCAAACAAAAAAACCAAAGACAGATCAATTGCTGATCTTTGGATAGCTGTTCATAAGCAAATAATGGGAGCATGAAGGTTTTATTGAGACAGAACTATTTGCAAATATTTATGGCATGCAAATATTTTAGCATTCCATCTCAGAATGAAGTAGGCAAGTTTCTTACTGTCAAGAGGACAGGTACCTGCGGGAACAGCATCTGACCAGAAGATAGGAGGTGTCATTTTTGGTGCCAGTTTGCCAAGAATGTCTTGTTGAGCTTGGACTTAAGTTTTGCTTTTTTTAAAGTATGGGGTAAATTATATCAGGTTATCTCAGTCTGGGTTCAAGGATCACCAGGGTAATCATGGATGGATTTCTGGAGATCTGGGAGATGTGTGTGCATGTTTACGTGAGTGTGTGTACGTGTGTGTACGTGTGTGTGTGTGTGTGTGTGTGTGTGTGTGTGTGTACACATGTGTCTGTCTGTCTACACAAGTTTTAGCTTTGGACAGTGTCTCAGGATTTCATATTTTCAAATATCATCTCTCCCATATCCCCAAACTGAAAGCTACTGTGAGGGGCTATATAGGTGGTTCAGTGGTTATGAGCACTTGGTATCCTTACAGAAGACCCTAGTTCAGTTCTCAACATGTACTTGGCAGCTCATAACACCTGTAACTCCAGTCTCAGGTGACTCAATGCCCTTTTCTGGCTTCCTTGGACACCAGGCATACATGTGGTGTACAGACATACAGGCAGGCAAAAACCCATACACATAAATAAAATAAAATAAGAAAAAGGAAAAAAAAACCCTACTAGGCAACAAGATCTTGCAGGACCTTCTATAGTATAAGTTTGGGATTCCTAGAAGAGCCCAAAAGAGTCTTAAAGTCACCTAACATACCTCTACAGTTTGGAAGGTAGGATAGG